CTTGGCGGGTTTGTCCCTGGACGGCCGCGCGGCCACCGCGGTGGCCATATTTCTGGTGGTGTGCTGCCGCGCCAGGCGCCGAAGCCCGTCGCCAACTTCGCGTCTTCGGTCTCACCGCCGCCGCTGCGCGGCGCGCGGCGGCAGGACTCCCGCGCGTGGTCAAGCCGCGCGGCCACCGGGGCCAAGACCGTCGAGTCTCGCGGCGCTTACGCCGATGGCGACATTCGGGCCGCGCGCGCCGTCTCGCGCGCCCTCGGCGACCGCTTCGCGACGCGGCAGCCACGGCGCGTCTTGCGCAAGGACGATTATCTCACTACCTTACGGGGCCGGACGGCAACAGCGGTGGCTCGAGAGCACGTTGCCGGCGCGTCCAGCGGCGCGCCCACGTCGGTCGATGATCTGCGCCCCATCCCCGTCGCCCTGCCCATCTTCGACCTCCGCGTTCGCATCGCTCCTCCACGCGTGGAAGGGGCTCTCGGACGCCCGGAGTGCAACTGCGGGACTGGCTGGGGCGGCGCCCCAGCCGAAGTACTTCGCGCTGGCGCTTGCATCGCGGCGGCCAAGCTCTCCGACGTACCAGTCCGCGGTCGACCTCGAGATGTTGCCGCGCAGCTGGCCGGGCAGCCGCGTCGTCGAAGTCCGCGAGAAGAGGGCCCCCGAACAGGATGTCGATGAGCACAGGAGGATTCCTTTAGACAATCATGTGGGCAAGGAGCTAGGGGGGATCCTCGCCGACGAGGCGCGGGAGCTGCGCGAAGCTGGCGCGCCCTGATGCCAGCGCGGCGCTGTCTCCAAGCGCGGGGCTGACTTCGCCTCGCACGTTGTCTCGGGATTCCTTAAGCACGGCAAGATATTTTAATTGTGCGCGCATGTCCTCCGCGTCGACCTTCCCGGGGCTTTCGACTGGGCGATCTGCGAGCTCGCGCTTGCTTCTCATTTGACTGCGCGCGCCCGTTCGCTTGCTTTGCGGGCCTTGTTTTCGCCGCCCACCAGGTTGGACGGGTCGCCGAATTTATCCCCGCCCGCGGGCTTCTCATGCAGCAGCGGGGCGCCCCTGACAAGATTGCCCGCCTCATGCAGAACCTGCGCTCCAAGTGTCGGCTCAGCTGCGGCGATCAGCGCGCGCGCGCAACGCGGCAAATCTGGCGGCGCCATCTTCAACGGCGCGCGCGGGATCGGCCTGCTGCCCCTCAGAGACGCTCTCATCCAGGCTGGCGTGGAGCCGCGCGTCCACGACCCCAGCCCAGACGTTGCCTCCTCTGGGGGCGGCCCCGCTGACGGCGACCTGGCGGGCAACGGAGGGGCGGGGTGCGCCCCCCGCCCTCGCCCGACATCGCGGCCCCAGTCATCGGCGTGGCCTTCGGTGATGACGAGCGTCTGCCGTTGTGCGCCGAGGCCCTGGCTGCCCTGGATCGGCATATCGACGCCCTCCTCGAGTCTTTGCGCGGCATCTTCGGTTAGGTTTCGCGGTCGATTGGGGGCCGGGCAAAACAGAGCGCAGCCTCGTCTACAGGGGCCGCGACGCAGCCCCCCATTACATTGCCGAGAGGGCTGGCCCCCATGGCCCTCTCCAGGTCAAGGTGCTCGGCTCCGCCGACCACGTGGCGGTCGCGCCCCGCGGCAAGCACTTCGGCGGCGCCGCGGAGGGCCGGCGGCAACGATGTCCACGAAGCCCAGGCTCGCGCCGCGTCGGCCGCCGAGGCCCGCTGCCCGCTGGCAGCGCGCGCCAGTGGCAGCGGGGCTTGCCCGCTTTCTGATCGATGGGGCCTCCCGGCGTCGCTCGCGTTCCCCCGGCCGTTCGTAGCGCCCGCATTCGCGCGTTTTCCCTCGCGGCCCTGCGCGTTCAGAGCGCCGCGCGCACGCGGTGCCTCCGTCGCCTCGCCGGCGAAGGCAGGTTCGGCCCCAGCGTGACGGACGTTGACGCGCGTCGGATTCTGCAGGCTTCGTCCGGGGACTGCCTCCGCGCACGCAAGCGGCTGGCGCGCCTCGGTCGAGTCGCTCGGCGCGGCCCTCCTGAGCGGCGCGCCCCCCTCGCTCGACGCGCTGGCCGTTCTCCCCATCCCGTGGGCCTCGCTGCGATGGGCCTGCAGCGTTTGGCGCATGGCCGCTCTGCGTTCTGCTGTCCCAGATCCCGACGGGGACTTCGGGCCCTGGCTGCAGTTCTTCGTCTGCACGCCAGCCCGTGGTCGCGGACTTGCAGTTGCATCCATTTTGCAGAGTTTGCGCGCGACTTGGGAGCAGGCGCCGTTCCCTCGCACGACGCTCCTATCACAGCCCGCCGCTGCCCTCAGCGCCGCGCCCATCCTCCTGTGCTGCGGCCGCGTCTCTGAAGTCTCACGCGCGGATGTAGCGGGTGCGCAGGCTCCTCGGCGCATATTTTGGATGCCAGATGGCGTCTGCCAGGTCTGTGAAACACATTTCTGGTCTAGGCTCCGCCTGCTTGGGCTTTTGTGCGTGATGGCAGGCGTACGCAGTGTTGGGGCACCATTAGCCCGCCGTCGGCGGTCGTCGTCGCCGTCGCGCGCCTCCCTCCGCAGTCCGCCTCCTCTCTCCCCCCTCTCCCCCCTGACCCACTCTGAGACGCCAGGCCGCGTGGGTTTGTCATTGCGGTCGCGCAGACTGCGTGCGTCCTTGTTTTCCATGCGCGTTCCATGTGCAACCAGAGTCTTCAATATGAGCGTCCCTTCGTGGACGTACTACGCACCTTTCTGTGATTTCACACGGGCTGTCCCTATGCTACATATGAACGCGCTTGTTTCTCTCATCGTATGTACCGGCCTTTGTGGTGTTTGCATCAAACATTGTAGTAACCTCCGGCCAGCGCCGCCGATCCGGGACGCTTCCGTTGCTGCCGGCAGCGCGCGATGGCGGTCGTGACCGGCGACGGCGGCGAGCGGTGAGGATGATGATGAGGACTGCGAATGGAGGCGACGGAGTAGGATGATGAGGAGGAGGAGGATGATCATGATGAGGTGGAAGGGGGTGGACGGGGGGAGGGGGCAGGAGTAGCAGGATGCCGAGGATGAGGAGGGGCAGGAGACAGCGGGAAGTGGAAGAGGGGGAGGGGGAGGGGGAAAAGGAGGAACATGACGAGGATGAGGAGATTTCCGGCGGTTGTTGGAGGTGTTCGGCGGTTGTTGGAAAGCTTCTTTGGGGCTAAGTGTTGGCCCTCTTTGGGTTGACACCTCGCCGAAGTCTCTTTGGGGGCACTCTTGGTTTCGGAGAAACGGCCCTTGAGGGGGCGAGTCTTTAAGCAACAGCGAAATGCCCCCCCCAAAGACCTGCCGGGCAAAGCAACGGCGATGCCGTCGAGGTTTGTCGTCGTCGTCGTCGATCGTCGTTGTCGTCGTCGTTGGTCGTCGTCGTCCAACGGGTTCAGCTTTCCGCCCTGGGCCCGTTTTTGACGGACCCGCGGGGGCCCGAGAGAGAACTCTTTGGCCATCCCGGACACCCGCAAAACAAACAAACCAATGTTTATTTAAACGGTTTGTTTACTCGGCAGTGCGATGCTGCAAATGCCTGTGCAAAACACGTGCTCCTAGCGATGTTGTTTCGAGTCCCGCTTCTTCAGGGGTCATGTCCCCGATTTTTTGGTTTGAAACTCATTTGTTGGTATCGTTTCTGGTTGGGCCGGGCTGCGTGCGTTCGGGGGGTTCGTGTCCGGGTGGGGCGAGTTCTTTTGTCAGCGCCTGTATTTTGGAACGCGAGGGGGAGGAACAGTAGTCGGAAGAGGAGGAGGAGGAAGAGGAGGAAGTGGGGGTGGAGGAGAATGACATGGAGGTGGAGGAAAAAGGTCGAAGAGGTGAAGTTGTCTGCGTCACCGTTCTTTGTGGACCCTTGTGTATCACCAGCATTTGCTGGGAGCCATGGCGTTTTTGGGATATCTGGGGCATTCGCGCGGTCCTCTGCGGGCCCTTGTGTGGTCATGGGTTTGGGGGGGGCACCGAAAGCGGGAGAATTTGTGAAAACATTGAAAAACGCTTGTATTGCAGCGTTTGTGTTCAGACGTAAGCGTTGCGGAAGCATTGGGGCCGGTTTTGGAGTCTTGGGGGCAGTTTGGAGTTTTCTAGAAGGCGTTTTGGATGCATTTGTTGAAGCCCTTGGGGTTTTCAGGGGGCTCTTCAGGCCTCTTCAGGCCTCTTGGGGGCCTCCGGGGGCCTGCTGGGGGTTTCTTGGGCCGTCTTCGGCACTTTTTCCGCCGTCCTGGCGCCCTGTCAGGCGCCTCTTGGGCCCGTCCTGGTGCCCTCTTGGGCGTTGTCTGGGGGGTTCCTGGGCCATGTTGGGCCCTTCTTGGGCCGTCTTGGAGCACTCTTGGCGGCTTCTCGGGCCGTTTTGGAGTTCTCTTGGGGCGTCGGCGACGCTCTGAAGGCCCAAGAGGCGAATCTACTAAAATTGTAAGTTTTCCATCGGGAATGGGCCACTTTTTGCTTTGGGGCCTTCTTTGGGAGTCCTTGTCAGGAGCTTCTGAGGGCATCTTGGAGGCTTCTGGAGCCGTCTTGGGGATATTTTGGGTATCTTTTAGCGGTGTTTCGGCGACTCGGAGCCCTCGTGGCCCATGTTGGGGCCCTCCTGGGCGAGGGGGCCGTCCCGGAGTGAGCTGGAGCTCCGACTCCGCCCCGGGAATTGAGTCGACCCCCCCCCCCGTTCCTTACCCCCAGCAGAGCCACCCCGGCACCCACCCCCCAGCAGAGCTGAAGCTCAGGAATTGAGCTCAGGCTTTTCTGAGGGTCTTTGAAGCTCACACGCCGGATCGGCAGATTTGCGCATAGCGATATTCACGCATACGGGATACGACGAGCAAGGGCATTTGTTTGGGGGTACCGTTTCGGGTCTCTTGGGCGCCTTCGTCACGGCTGGATCCGCCTTCTTGATATCTTGTTCAGAAAGCGTTTCAAGAGGTGCGAGGGAATATGTCGTCGATATCGTCGTCGATGCTGTCGTTTTCGATGTGGCCGATTGCCGTCGTCGCCGTCGTCCACGTCATCGCAGCCACCGTGGAGGACGACGCGTTGCTGAGCGAGCTCCCTGACCCGTTGCTGCTTCGGCTGACCCGCGTGCCGTTCGCGCGGAGGGACGGAGCTCCCCCGGTGCCTCAAAGCGCTTCGGCGTTTTTGTCAGCTTGTCGAAGATCTAGGTTCCCCGAGTGGGGCGTGAACGTATGCGCGCCCCACGCGCGTCGCGGCCTGGGCCAGAGCGGCGCCCTTTTTCCAGGGACTCGGCGCGGGGGCGCGAGGGCGCGAAGTCAGTCGTGCATCGTGGGGCGCAATGCGCGTAGTTCGGTGGCTTAGGACGTAGGGCTCGAGACATACATGGGGTGTTCGGCTTTTTAGGTGTTCTGCGCCAGGTGCGCCGTGGGTGTTTCCGTCAGCTGCGTCTCGTCGAGTACCTTTCGAGCAACAACAATCTGCATGACCATGTATTCTTGCAGGTATGCGGGATCCCTTGGACTCCCCTGCCTGGCGCGCGCCAGGCAGGGGGTCCAGTGCCGATCCAAGAAATCTGTGTGGACTTCTAGCCATGTCTACGTTTATGCAGTACTTGCGTTTCTCGGTGATCAGAGGTTCGCTGAGGTTTTCGGCCTCGGGGTGTCTTCAGTTACGCCGCGTCGAGTTCGGGGGGGCACCAATGCCCGATTCGCTTTGGCCCGCAGGCCAGCCGGAAGAAGCAGGATCCTCACGTCTGGGCGTCGTGAAGAGAATCGATGAGAGTATTCGCCCTGTCGCGTGCCCAGAGGGCCCGTCTCCGCAGCCGAGCCGGCCGCGGAGAGATGGGGGCTGCCAGTTCCCACCGTGATCTTTTCGCGAGGCTGCTTTTGTTCGGTACGTGCAAGATGTTTATATACCCGATACCACAGGCGCCATGTCTTGGAATCACACCCTCCTCTACGTCTTGGAGTTTCGGGTTCCCTTCCTCCGATACCACAGGCGCCATGTCTATGAATCCAACATTTTCGCCCCTAGAGGTCAGATCTTTAGCTATATCCACTGCGCCGCGGCCTGCCGGCGCCCCTTCCCAGAAAATCCAAGACGCAGTGGATATGGATGTAAATCGTGCCCGCATTCGGGGGGGTCAAGAGGGGGGGAGGACTAGGGTGGGTGGATATCATAGCCGGGGCCACGACATCTCCAACATCTCATGCCCACCCCCTTCTTCCTGTTCCAGCGCATCCGTCTTTGTTTCCCTCGGGTCCTCCTCTTCCCTCGCCTCCCCCCTCTTCTCCTCCCCCCCTCGTGCTCTTCGATTCCCTGCCTGGGCCCCACCTCGGGGCGGCCGACCCCGCGGCGGGCCAAGAGTCCGCGATTTTTCACATCTGTGTCCTCCACGCATCTCTCGGGCCGAATGAAAGGGGGGGATAGGGAAAGGGAGGTTTACGAAATCTGCTGTATGCAGCTGGTTTCGGCCCCGCCGCCGGGCCCATTCCTCGATACAGGGGCGCCT